ATGCAAATTAAAACAACTCTGAGGTACCACCTCACATCTATCAGATTGGCTGTATGACAGAAAAAGGGAAATAATAAATGTTGGAGAAGATGTGGGAAAATTGGGACACTAATGCATTGTTGATGAAGTTGTGAACTGATACAACCATTCTGGAGAGCAATTTGGAACTATGCCCAAAGGGTAACCAAACTGTGCATACCCTTTTGATTCAGCAATACCACTAGGTCTGTGTCCCAAAGAGATCATAAAAAAGGAAAAAGGACCCACGTGTGCAAAAATATTTATAGTACTTTTTATGGTAGCATAGAATTGGAAATTATGAGGATGGCCATCAGTTAGGGAATGGCTGAACAAGTTGTGGCGTATGAATGTAATGGTATACTGTTGTGCTATAAGAAATGATGGGCATGTGGATTTCAGAAAAACCTGGAAAGACGTACGTGAACTGATACTAAGTGAAGTGAGCAGAACCAGAAGAACATTGTACACATTAACAGCCATATTGTGCAGTGATCAACTGTGATGCTCTTCTGAGCAATTCACTATTCCAAGACAATTCCAAAAGACTTGTGATGGAAAATGCTAACTACATCCAGAGAAAGAACTGTGGAGTCTGAATGCAGATGGAAGCTTACTGTTTTCATTGTTTGGGAGGGTTTGTTTTTTCTTTCCTGTGGCTTTTTCCTTTTGTTCTGATTTCTTCTTTCACAACACTTTATTACTCTCCTGCACACCAACACCATCATTGTCTTACTCCTGGACTATTGAAAAGGCTGTTGGTGGGTTTGCCTGCCTGAAGTCTCTCCCATTCCAATCCGTCTTCCATTCAGCCACTAAAATGATTTTCCTGAAGTGCAGGTTGAGTCATGTTACCCTTTTATTCAGTAAACTCCAGTGGTTCCCCATTATCTCTAGCATTAAATACAGAATGCTTCATTTGGTGTTAAAATCCTTCATAACCTACCCCTCTCCTACCTTTTCAATCTTACTTCCTCCCCAATATGTCCTATGTCTCTCCCGTGTGCCCCTACCATCCCCCCTTCTCCCCGATATGCTTGGAATGTTCTCTGTCCTCTGTTTTGGCTATTGACCTCTTTGGCTTCCTTTAAGTCCCAACTAAAATCGCACCTAATACAGGAAGCCTTCCCCATCCCCTCTTAATTCCAGGGCCTGCCCTCTGTTAATTATTTCTTATGTGTCTTGTGTATATAGGCTGCTTTGTATATATTTGTTTACATGTTGTCTTCCCTAGTACAGGGCAAATTCTTTGAGATTAGCGATTGTTTTTTTGCCTCTCTTTTGTATCCCGAGGGCAGAATGAAAGTAATGAGTTAGAAATGTTGTCTAGGTTGCTATCCTGTGTCAATAGGAGGATGGTGTTTTATTCAGCATTTTGGGGAAAGGAGCAAGAGGAAAAGCTTTGGCAGAAGATAATGAATTCAGTTCTGGACATGTTGAGTTTAAGACGTCTTTATGACTGAAGTTTGAGATTTATAATACAAAGAATCGAAATTTTTACTGCATTGTTGCTATGCAACATTCTCAAAGCAATGTCATGTTTGTATAGATCATGTGGCTCTACGTAGTTGCCTCAGAATAGTCATGCCAGAGGGCTGCAGATACTGTTTACTGTAAGGTATTCTTCCAGAAACTTCTCTCTCATGTCCCTTTACTTGACTGATCCTTTCACCTTTTGTTGCACCAGTTGGGGTGAGGTCCAATTTGAGGAAGGAGACCTTTGGGAAAGGATAGGGGTACCACAAGGTGGCTGAGTTGAATCTCATTTGTTCACTGTAATCATGAACTATGGTTCTTTCTGATCCTGGCTAAGTTGTAAGGGTTTAGGGGTCATTTTGGAGAGAATTGGAGGTTTTTGTTGTTGTTGTTGTTTTAGTCTCATAGACCTGGGAAGAAACTTAGATTTCTTACCTAATCAATTCATTCCCCTTATTTTCTAGGTATGTGAAATAAAACCTGGTGAGAGAGAGTGGTTGGCCCAGGTTTTGTAGCTAATGCTTTTTTGTTCATGGCTAGCACCGAGGTCTCCCATTTCTAGCTGTTGTTCTGTCCTCATTGCATCTACCTACTACTGATTTATTTTCTGCAGCACCTTCTTCAGGTGCTCTGTTTTTCCTGTTAGTCAAATGGACCTCAGAAGATTGTCATATTATGTCTATTAGAAATTTGTATTCTGGGAGCAGTCATCATCTTTGCTGACCTGTTCTCAATTCTGATCAGAGGTTAGAGTTTATTCCCTAACCTGTTTTTAACTCCTTTTCTTAGTGGAACTTTGAAAGCCTTGTGTATATAAAAATGATAATATTATTGATGTTTGATGTAACTCATGCTTTTTGCCTCAAAGAAAGCACAGGGCAGTTACATCATCTGCCTATCCTCTATTCTGGGTCTTTGATAAATACCTTCTGAGACCATTGGAGAATGATGTGACGTTAGATGAGCCACAATTCTTATTCTGAACCATCTGGCCCCTTAAAACCACATCCTATTTCAATAGAATGAGTGATAGTTCTTTTGGGGGGGGGGGTCCTGACTGTGCAGTAGGTAGGATTGCTCTTCAGATATTATGTTTATTTAGCAGCTTGGCCTTAGAGGTAGTTAACTCAGCATTACAATGTATCATGGCTTATTTCAAAATAGTAATTAATTGTGAAATATGTGGCTTGGTTACGTGGTTTTTGGTAAATAGTAAAATGCCAAGAAAAAGCATGGAAGAAAGAAAAAGAGTGAAATTCTAACTTCAGCAGGCCATCTGGGTGCGTTGGAAAATGGAGTGCTGGGTCTAGGTTCACCTCCAGCCTCAGACACTTAGTTAATGAACTTCTCTTGGCCTCAGTTTTCTTATCTATAAAATAGATTATAATAGCTCCTACTTCCAGTGTTGTTTTCAGGATTAAGTGAAGATCATATTTGCAAAGTATTTAGCTAACCATAAAGTGCTATAGAAATGTAGCTGCTATTACTATTTTGTTTTATTCTTTGGAAATGGGGGACTGCTTAGACAGATATGTTCTTTCTCAATCTTGCTGCCCTTTGAATATACAAAAACTTCATATTTTTACTCCAGTTTTTGTTAAAACAGCCCTGGGTGTGAATAGCAAAGAAGACAGGGGAAGGGGAAAACCTTGGAGTTATAAAAAAGACCTTATTTTGAGTTCTCCTCTCCCACCTTTCCCCCTCCTAACCTTTCCCTTCTCTGAGTTTCATGGCCTTATGTGTGAAGTGTTTTCAGCTGCAGTTTGATTGGGGTTCTGCAGACATCTCCTTCCCATGCAGCCTTAACAGAGAGAGCTCACATTAATTAATCTCTTTGGCTTTGTCCAGGTTATCTGGGGTCTCGTCTGATAAGGAGCAGATTGTGGCACAGGGATTTAAATTATTCCTTAATTTTGTTCAGCTTCAAGATGAATATTGGAAGTATATCAATCTAGCTTATTTCATGTGCATGGAAACTAACAATCTTTAATGCCTCTTAATAGCAAAATCTCAAAATGGCTAATCTATTTATGATATTTCTTCTGATAAAATCACCTTGTATGTCATTTGGCATAAGCCCTATTCCAAATAACCTTGAGGAGAATTATATGTGGAGACTGCATTAGCCTCCTTAACAACAATTTGTATGTATTGACTGCAGAGCCTTGCCTTTTAAAGAGACCAGCATATTTTCTTATCTGTCTTCTCTGGAGACTATTTGTTTATTGTTATTTGGATCAAACTGCTATTTGAAGCTGCTCACTTGAATAGAAAAACAAATTAACACTGAATGACTACAATAATGTCATTCAGTACTTTGGCATTGTACATCTATTTTCTCATTTGGTCCTCACCACAACTCCGACATCAGTGCTCTTATTATGCTTATTTTACAGAAGATGAAACTGAGTCTGGGTTGTTCAGGGTCACATAACTAGTGAGTGTCTAAGGTAGGATTTAAAGTCGTGTCTTCTTGACTTGATGTTATCATGCCACCTAGCTGCTCCAGAAGACAACACTATAATGATAATCAGTTTGATCTTGAAGAAGAGAATAGAAAATGTACTTTGAAGACGTGGGGAACTATGTGTGAGGAACACTGTTTACACCATAACACTTCTTTAATATGTTGTTTTGCTGGACTGCCTTTTTTTCTCTCTCTCTTAAAAATTATTTATGCGATAGCTTTTTAGGGAGGGTAATAGTAATAAAAATATTTGAAAATGAGTGTGGTGCATCTAGACTGGTCCATGTACACACACACACAACCTATATGGATACCAAACCTGTGCCTTCCTTGGGGGAATTGTTTTTGTGTGATAACAGTTCTGAATATGGAGTACATACTGTAAACGTGAATATGGTCTATATTTGGGAGGTTTATTGGTTTTCTCATCTTTTGGTCAAATACTTAATGCCTTCTGTTAAGAAAAGTTTGGTCCAACTTGCATCTGAGGAAAAACTGGCAAAATTCTTTGCTAGAAATTTGCCCACTATTGTAAAGCATGTGAATAAGCCCCACCTCTCCTTTCTAGTTTGCCACAGAAGCTAAAGTCCCATGCCACCCCCCCACCTCATTTTTTGTCATTCATTTTATTAGCCATGCACATGCCTTTTGTTTCTCAGTTGATCCACCTGGCATTTTTATTGTCAGATTTATTGGGATCATATTGAAGACCTAGAGCTTTCCACCTCCTCCTTTTGCAACCCTTTCTCATTTCCAATGTATCTGCTTACCCAAGCCTACCTAGACGAAGTTTAATGGACGTTGAATTCTTTATTTTGTTTCCTATACTGATTTGGCTTCTTGCATTTCTTTAATCTCTTGACTTTTGATTTTCTATTGTCGAATAAAAGAATCTAGAATTAAAAAAAATAAAAGGTGATAGAAAAAAGAGATCAATAAAAACTTAACATTGAAATATGCTGCCTTTTTCTTGTTTTAAGGAGGAAAATATTCCTTAATAAAACATAAGTTTCTTTCCTCATTGTTACATTTTCTCCAGGGCTTCTGAGCTCTTTCTGTTTCAATCCAAATGTCTGTACTGTTGCAGCCTGGTCAGCACACAGGAAGAAGAAGAGGCAGGGACAGTGTTCCACCCTAGAGTGGGAATCTGTACAAGTGTCTTCTTCTGGCTCCTGAAAACCCCACAGACAAGAGGGGCACAAACAGCTTCTCCCTGATATACATCTGTACCTGTAGTGTATGGGAAGCAAGATAATTAAGAGTCTTTAAGAGAAGACTATGAGGATGTTTTCTTCAAAACTATCTGGTATGTGTCTGTCTATCAACATATCTATATCAGCCTTTGTTTCTCTGTCTCTGTCATCTATCTGTGTCCCATTTTCACTTTGTGTAGTTTTTTTTTTCCCTCCATTCTCTTTTCTTTGTCTAGTTCTTTCTCCCCAGGCCATCCTCCAGCCTGCTGCTTTTGTCTGCTCCACTGGGCCCTGTAATCTTTGACCTCTCTCCAGTGGTAGCTTGAAGAGGGTCCCTTGAGGCTTGGGCTGGTCTGTAGGTGGAGAAGGTGCTGAATTTGGAAGTCTGGAAGTCCTTTGTTCAAATTTTGCTTCATTCTCTCAGTACCCTGTAACCCCTTGGTCCATAGTTTACCCTCTCTGCTTCAGTAAAATGGATGGAAAATGCTTCATTTATCTTCAAGTGCCATAAATGCCATCAAGTATTATTGGTGTTAGTGCTGGGCACTGGCGATCCAAGTACAAAATGTGAAACAGTCCCTACTGTCCAGGACCTTACATTTGGTTGGGGAGACAGCATGGGCATGGATAAATATATTCAGAAATATCTCTCTCATATATATATATATATATGTGAATATAATCTAGAGAAAATGTTGAATAAATACAAGGCAGATAAATATAGGGCATTGTTTTGTAGTGGAATGGATTCTGGTTCTGCATTCAAAGGATCTGCGATTGATTTTTGCTTCTGCCTTTTAGCCTTTATGTGACCTTTGTTAAGTAATTCATTATCACTGGTCCTTGGTTGTCTCATGTGCAAAATGGGGGGTGGTGTAGATGAGGCTGAAGATACTTTACAGTGAATCTAGAGACCCCATCGTTACCAAGTGTGTGTTTTAGCCGAATGCTTTTGTGCATCAGCAGTTTCTGATATGGAGGCTTAGCCTGCAACTTTTCAGTGTTGCATACCTAATAAATAGTAGGTCTTCTGACCCCTCATGGATTGGTCTTTCCGCTCTGCCAGTTTGAGGATGATTTCCACATTTTGTTCCCCCTTGTCTGACAGACCCTAGGGTTAAAGATCATGGTACTTTGACCCTTGATATATATGAATAATTCAAATATTAAGTACCTATTATTGTGTTCAGGATACTGTGGGAAAGATTTAGAAGTTAGGCTTCCACAGCAGAACACAGAAATTCTGAGGGGGACTTCCAAGATCTTGTGGCTAGTCCCTCAACCAATCAGAAAGTGCCCGAACATTCTGCAGAACCACTGCTTCCTGAAGACAGAGCTCTCCGGGCTAAACTGGTTGCATCCCTTCTGGGTCAAGGACTGAGCAAAGGCTTTTTCTCCACTGTGCTTGCTTAAGGAGCTTATTGAATATTAACTGACACACCCCGATGGTGGAGATAGCCTCCATTTTTGAACATGGGACGTATAACCTGGGAGGATTGCGCATGACAAGAAGTAACATGGGATGGGCAGTTCAGGAAGAGTGTAACCCAAATGAACCGGTCCAATCCTAGCTCAAAATGGGAGTAGTACGGATTTTACTAACCATTCAAAAGGTTTTGCTTCTGTATCAGTGCACCAGTGCTGTACTAGGGTGTGGTGTGCCTTGAGAAGAGTAATACAAGGCTTTCCTTCACACACTCCTGCAGTAGATTTTTGTTTCAGATTTTCTAACAATACCTTGTCTGAGAAGAACTTAATCCAATGTGAGGTTTAGTGCAAACATGGCTCACAAAATGACATTTCTGAAACGATGGCATATATGCAAGTGTTCAGTGGGGCCAATAAACCTGGGATCTCAAGTGAGTAAGAACTTGATGTACAACACTGTCTTTTCACGGTGTGGCTTATTTCTATTGTGAAAGCTTTGCTACACTGTTCAGAAACCTATGACTTGATGTATTATTGTTAGCTTTTTTGATAAATTGTGTCCTAAGGAGAATTTGGAATTGTTTGGTTAGTCACCATTAGAGTTGTCTAACATCTCTCCCTTTGAGTTCTAGGTGAAAGAAAATCATAGTGGGTAGTATTCCCAGCTGCCCTGAAAGCTCTTCTGTAACCTTTAGCAGAAAGGACCATGAGTTTTCCCAAGAGTATGGGACACAGATCTACTGTGATTCTAGAAGATTGTTGTTGAAGTGTGCTAGCCACTTCCTGACTGAAGTGTGATGGATGGAATCAAAGGACAAAATGAAACAGACTTCTTTTTGACAGGGCAAACGTATGGATTTGTTTTGCCTGAGCACGGCTTTTGTTGTTGTTAAGTCATTTCAGTCGTGTCCAACTCTTTGTGACCCCATTTGAGGTTTTCTTGGTTTGCTGTTTTCTTCTCCAGCTCATTTTACAGATGAAGGAACTGAGGCAAATGGGGTTAAGTGACTCACCCAAGTTCACACAGCTAGTAAGTGTCTGAAGCCAGATTTGAACTCAATGAGATAATTCTTCCCGACTCCAGGCCTGGCACTTGATGCACTGCACCACCTAGCGGATCATGCTTATTTGTCACCGGAAAAGGAATACTTTTTAAAAAAAAATTAATTTATTTTTAGTTTTGAACATTGACTTCTGTAAGCTTTTGAGTTTTAAATTTTCTCTGTTTCCCTCTCCCCTCCCCAAGATAGCATGCAATCTCATGTAGGCTCTTACATATACATTCTTATTAAACATATTTTCACATTAGTCATGTTGCAAAGAAGAATTCGATCCAATGGAAGGAACCACAAGAAAGAAGAAACAAAACAAAACAAATGAGAGCAAATAGTATGCTTCAATCTACATCCAGACTCCATAGTTCTTTCTCTGGATGTGGATAGCATTTTCCATCATGAGTGTTTTGGAGTTGTCTTAGATCCCCTTGCATTGCTGAGAAGAGCTAAATCTATCAAAGTTAGTCATCACACAATGTGGCTATTATTGTGTACAATATTCTTCTAATTCTGCTCACTTCACTTAGCATCATTTCATGTAAGTCTTTCTAGGTTTTTCTGAAATTGGCCTGCTCATCATTTCTTATCGCACAGTAGTATTCCATTACATTCTTATACTGCAACTTGTTCAGCCATTCTCCAGTTGAAGGGCATCTCCTCAATTTCCAATTCTTGGCCACCATAACAAGAGTGCTCTAAATATTGTTGTACATGTGGGTCCTTTTCTCATTTGTCTGGGATACAGACCTAGCAGTGGTATTGCTGGGTCAAAGGGTATGCACATTTTAATAACCCTTTGGGCACAGTTCCAAATTGTTCTCAGGAATGCATTTTTAGAAAAGTTATTTGTTCAGATGTCACTCTACCCCAATTCCATCCTTCATCTCACCAGAAGTCCCTTAGAAACAACTATTCTGATTGTCTTGTCTGTTACCAAAGAGCAAATGAGAACATTCTACCTACTGTGAAATACTTCTTGGTGAGTTAAATCCAATTAGATGTTGACATCTAACCATTCCAAGTTTTCTGCAACATTTAAGAACCAAAGATTTCTTCACAACAAAAACAGCTCCTGTTCAGCTGCTTCCCAGTGATGGGCCAACTGTTAGAGAATGAGTAAGTCCTTCAAGTCAGCAGGATGATCATTAGTGTTATTATTTATTATTACTGAAACTGTCAAATTCGCTATCTGAGGAGTTCATCTTTCATACCGCAGACACCCTTACAGAGGAAGGATTCAACCCTATAGTGGTTCTACGTGAATTTAAATTTGCGGAGTCAAAAGTGCATCCACTTAAGATTACCTGTCTTTCCGGTTGCCATACCTAAAGCTTTTGATAGAATTGAATTTAACCTGAAATATTTCTTAAAATTTCTGGTCTTTATTTCTTCTTCATTATTCCACACAGGTGAACTTTTAGGTAAGCCATTCCCTATGTAGAAATTGTGTCATGCTCTGATGTTTCTAGGGTGATGGAGATGAGGGGCAAGGAAATAGTCTAAATTGAGTAGGAGGATTGGGAAAAAATAATTCAATCAATTAATAAACATTTTTTAAACACCTGCTATTTGCTAGGCTCTGTTCTAAGAATTGGGATACAAAAAGAGGCAAAAGACAGCTCCTGCTCTCAAGGACCTTCAGTCTGATGCAGGGAGGGGCCTATATTCAGGCCACATAGGAAATTATTATCAGAGGGAAGGCACTGGGATTGAGGGGTTGTGAAAGATTTCCTACAGGAGGTGGGATTTTAGTTGGAATTTAAGGGATACTGAGGAGGTCAATACTCGGGGGGGGTTAGTTATTCCAGGCATGGGTTACAGATAATGAGTTGCATTTTAGATAGATTGTGTTTAAGATGTCTACTGGACATCCAGTTCTGTGTGTGTGTGTATACACGTGTACATAAATGTGTGCATTTCCCATCTCCCATTATAAGTATGTCAGCATCTTGAGGACAGTGACTAGGCACACCTCATTCCTCCCCATGCCCACCAATGCACACTCCCTCCCCATGTTCTTCCTGTTAAACCGTATTAGACACTTAATGAATATTTCATCCATACACATATTATTGACTAGCATGCTGTTTGGTGACTTGGTGGGGACAGAACAGTGGTGGTCTTGATGATCCAGATTGTAAATCCACCTATTGATTGAGACAACCTTTTATATAGGGCGAAAAAGAAGTATTTTCTGGCATCTTAATTTCTTGTGCAGGTCGTGTGGCAGATGGCACCACAAGAGGAAGTGATTTCATCTCAGTGGTTTCCATGGCCAAGTATCCTGCACGTATCATTTTCCCCCTCCTTCCATTTTCACTGTAACAGTTTGATCTTGTCCTCTCTTCAATTAATTCTGCAATTCCAAAGGGGAAAATATGAACCAACCTGCTCGTTATGTGTCTAACACCTATATAGATTAGTGGTGGTTTTTGTTTGTTTTTGTTTAGACAGTGGGATTAAGTGACTTTGCCCAGGCTTATAGTGTAAAGTGTCTGAGACCAGATTTGAACTCAGGTCCTCCTGACTCCAGGGCCAGTGCTCTATCCACTGCGCCAACTAACTGCCCCTATTACTGGTTCTTAATGTAAGGTCTGGGAATTTAGTGTTGTTTTTTCTTTTTAATGGATTGCCAGCTTAAATATGTTGTTTTCCTTTTCTAATCTTATGTACTTTTTGTGCATTATAAAATTAAAAAATTATTTTTCTGAGAAATATTTATAGGCTTCACCATACTTTGCCACATGTATATATTGATGGCAGATAAGGGCTAAGCACTCTTGAGAGAGAGTACGCACAATATGAGGCTTATGGGCCTTGTGGAGCCTTGAAACTCATGAACATTTCATATCCCAGATATTGCTTTCAAATAGAGAGATGGCTAAAAAGTCAGAGTAACCGTAGGAAACATTTTAGCCCTCCAAAAAGACTCAAAAATTGCCAAAAGCAAAAATTGTTCAGTATTAAGGGAAGTGTTTTTGTAGTGATAAAGTTTGGTCATTTTCTATTAGTATTCAGAGGAATTCAGAAAAAAATCTGTGATGTTGAGACTTGTCTTGAGGTGATTATTACTGAAATAAAAATAATTTGTTTTCACGATAATTTTTAATCTGGTTCATAATATTAATAATAATAGCAACAGCTATTGATACTTTCATTTATGACCTCAGTTTGTCAAGCACTTTATTCTCACTTGATTTCCATTTATAGTTGAGGAAACTAAGGTTCAGAGATGCTGAGTGATTTTCCAATAGTGTCAGAAGTGGATTTTCATCCTACTCCAAGATTAACAGTCTATTCATGAAGATAAAGATGAAGGCTTGCTGGTTTATAATCTCTGAATTTTTCCTTAAATATTCAAGAAAAATATATGGTTATCAATAATTGTCAGTGATACTCTTTTAAGAGATAGATGATCTTTCCATTTTCATGTTTCCTAAGGAACTGTTATTAACTGTAGAAAGTCTAGGAATGTCAGTTAACAAAAATGTACTATAATTTTACTTTAAAATTATAAAAGTCTTTCTCTGTTTTCCTTGCCTTACTGATTTATAAAAAATGCACTGTCAGTGAACACAAATGGATTCTTTGAGGTATTCTTAAAAGCCAGTTATTGTAGTGTTGTTATTGCCTTGTTTCACTGTTTAAACTGATAGACTTTCATAAAATCCTTTTCCTTTTATTTCTGAGAAACAGTAAATTCATTCAGTCTTCATCATACATTTTAACCTTTAGCATTTTAATGCCTTAGCAATGGTCACATAGTGCTATTTCTTCCAGTTGTATGCAACTAAAATATTGTTGCCACCCATTCTTGGCATATCAACTGCTCACTATTTTGGTGGGGGGTTAAAAATTGTTTTAGTGGGGCATTGGAAGAGAGGTTGCTTTACCAGTTCATCACTAATAAACCAAATTTGTTATGGACTTTGGAAGGTGGCTGACACAAAATCCTTTGAATAGAACATACTTTTCAGTAAATGAGGGAGAAGACAAACTTGTCCCAGACAAAAAGAGAATGATGTTTTTATTGCAACTGGGAGGATTTTTATTAGTACCCATGTTGACTAAGTGGTTTGGGCGTTCTACCCCCTTGTACCACCACCTCCTCCTCCTTGTCGTCGTTGTCGCCGCCGCCGCCGCCCGCCAGTTTACATTGGGAAGGAAAAAGATTATTTACTGTATCCAAGTGAACTGAGATATCTAAAGTGAGACCTGAAGGGAAAATCTGACTTCATGATGGACCATTGAGTTTTTTCTGATGTGCAGATGAGATTTTATATTGTGATTGAAAATCATAGGTCTGGTGGAAGTGATTTTGAACTATATAGCTTCATGCAATACATAAAGCCACAAAGCATAGTCGATTAAAGGCCAGTAGTGGCTATACTCCATTATTTTCTGTGTCTCCATTTCTCCACCTATAAGATGGAGAAAATACTTGTCTCTCCCCACAGGATTGTTGGGAGGGTAAAATGTGTTAACTATGAAAACAGATGGAAAAGGAAACCACATTAAAAATGGGAGATAGTATTATATTACAATACTCTGCATATCATATCAACAACCTTGACAGCAATTAGTGTCTGACATGCAGCCTTCAGACAGTTGTACTCTTTAGGCTGCTGTAGTAGTCGTAGTAGTCGTAGTAGTATTTCATCATCTAATCATAAGAATGCAAAGTTTTACAGCCTTGTCTTTTAACAGTCAGAATACTATACATCATTAGACATTTATTACATATCTACTGTGCTGGTTGGGTATACACAGAAGGGCAAAGACAGTTCTTGCCCTCAAGAGATTGCTTCATTCTTTGTAGTTCTCCCCCAGTCCTTGGACAGACTTAGACATGTAGTAAGTGCTTAATAAAGAGCTTGTTGATTGATGATCAACATCTATTTGGGAAGTAAGTACTCCATAATCAAGTTAATTTCCTTCTTTTTTACTGTCAACTTCAGACTTGCCCTAGAACAGAATCAGGACAATTTTCTACTCTGTAAGACCCTTGAAAATAAGGATTCTTGGGGCAGCTAGATGGCTCAAAGGACAGAGCTCCGGCCTTAGATGCTGGAGGACCTAGGTTCAGATAGGGTCTCAAACACTTGATACTTACTAGCTGTGTGACCCTGGGCACGTCACTTAACCCGGTTTGCCTCACCAAAAAGGAAAAAAAAAAGGATTCTTCCATTCTTTGTAGTTGCACTCACAGCACCTAGCACATAATAGGTCCTTCATAAATCCTTGTCGATTGATTTCATAAGAATTGAGTCTACTCTTTTTATGGGTCATTCATTTAGAATGAATATTTTGCCTTACTGTGTTCTTTTCATTATTGAATAATAGCACTGGATACTTGAATGGAGGCTGATATGTGAAAAGGGGAATGTCAAAAGATTTTTCATCTCTCTCACCCTCAATCTGTTTTCATCTAGAATGACAGTCATACAAACAAGCCAGAATATGTTGAACCTTAACTGCTAGATTGTGTGTGTGTGTGTGTGTGTGTGTGTGTGTATGACAGAGACAGAGAGTTTTATTCTTGAAGCAATAGGGAATCACTGAAGATTTTTAAATTAAGGGTGAGCAAATGATAAGGATTTAGCTGATAAAGTCAGGAACTCTTAACCTGAGATTGGTGAACTTTTACAAAAAGATATTTTGGCAACTATATTCTAATATAAATTGTGTTTTCCTTTTTATTTTCCTTTGTAATTTAGTTTATGCATTTGAAATATTTTTTTTTGTTTTCTCCTATGTATTTAAAAACATTGTTTTCCCTTGTATTTTAGTTTATGTATTTAAAAATATTATTATTCGTACGTGCCCTGGTCTGCCCAAGGTGATGAGATCTTAACTGAGGATTTCTTTTTTTTTTTTGGTTCATAATCTTGGAGAGAACAGTTTCAGTCAGATTGTGGCTATTAATTTAGAAGACTTTTAGGTATAAGAGGGAAAAATGACTTAGAAAGATAGCTTAAGTTGTATGGTCAATCTTGACATGGCTTAGCATAGTGCCTGGCACATAGTAGGTGCTTGGTTGAATGAATTGAAATTTTTCCATTATGTGGATGACCTAGACATATCTGGTTCTCATGTGACAGATGTACAATCTATTATTGACAAGTAGATGTAAAACCTTAACAAGTTGCCTAGAATCTGAGAGACCAGTAACTTGCTTATTAGCCTGTAAGAACACAGGTTCATAGTTGTAACTTGCTGGTACTTTAAGGAATTCTTAGCCTAATAAATTACCTACCTGTAGGCCCATTATTCTGGCTTTTCCAAGGAATAGTCTTTAGAATACTCCTAGTCTTAGGTCATTTGTAGTTTATCCCTGTTATGGCATAAATAGAAATAATAGTGATGATGATAATAAATAACAAAAAGGTGGAAGATTAATAAACATTCTTGTATCAAGGCATGAATAGGGCAAAATCCTAAAGAATACTTGTAAAATACTTTGGGGAAGATAATCCTTCACCAAAAAGTTCTAATGTATGATAACATACATGCCTTTGGATTTGTGGAATACAGCTGCAAGTGGCTATTATATGGGTGTTGCTATGAAATAACTAAGATTTAAGAGAATCATCAAAAGGCTCTCCATTTATTCAACCAAGAATATGTTGATAAATGACTGATAACACATTTCTTTGTGGAAATTGAAGAATTTATGTCGACAATTCAGCATTAGGTCATAGCCACAGGAAATGACAAAAAATCTATCCTTAAGGAGCTTGGACTAGTGAAAATTTAGATTATGCAAGGAAAGGATGGGGAAAAGTAAAGTGTAACAGTGCGATGAGGTGCAAAAATTTAGCCTCTTCTGAATATCTAGCTGTTTATGACCATAGCAAGACATGACTTAGCTAGCCACAATTATGCATTATCCATAATCCCCAAAATTATGGGGATTAATAAGTGACTCCCAGAGATGACATGCATGTCCTAGAAGGCTAAAACAATACATTGTACTGCCTCCCAGACTATTATCATAGACTAAACAGTATCATCAGATCATAACATTGATTCATAAAAACTCAAGAATGATAAATACTGGTATCTCAAATACACATCATCTCTAAGCTACAAAGAACAAAGCTTCCAAAGTGTTGGGAACTGGCTGTGACAGTGCATACCAGCTGTGAGAGCCATGGTGTATCAAAGTCTGTAGAATATTGAATGTGAAGGACTACTATTTGTGGCATTTTTTTATCCCATCAAAAAGATATGATGATGATGATGATGATACTAATAGCAGTGCTTGGGGATGGAGTAGGACACTACCTTACCAGATTTGTTTGCCTTCAGTAGTGTTCGTCTTTTTGTACAAATAGATTCTTTGGTTTGTGAAAGTTCCAATATGCAATATTTGAATGGGTAGAACTTTCTTGATTCCATCTTGGGTGGTGTCTCCCTCCTTCCCCAAACCCCTCCCCCCATTATTTTAGATCTGCTTTTCCCATCTAGAATATCAGATAAATATAATACTTGGGGGGATGTAGTAATTATAATTTTTTATGAAGGGATAAGTAATAAACTTGGTGAATGTGAGTAGAGGTATTCTGTTAGTCCAGTTTTTGTAGCATCAAATGATAAATGACCATTTGTGCAGGTAGGTTAGAGCTTTTATTTGCTAAATACTCTGTGAATTACATTTTTAAAAATTTCTTACCAAAATTTCCCGTATCAGGCAGCAAATTTTTTGAGTTAAATATATTATTATTATTTTTCAAGGTTCAGCCTTCCAATAAGCACTGTAATGGACTGAATTTTAACTTCCTTTTGTATAAAGGTATTAAAACCATCCTTAGGGTTTCTTCTGAGTTTCTTGCTCTGGGCAGCATGCCATCATATGAGGGCCAACTGAGATTCTGGTTGTCTTTGATGAATGTTGACATCTCTCTAGCACTTAGAACTAACTGTGTATCAGGTTTAGTCTCTATAATGCTCACTATGTATAATGCTAAGAATTTATAATCATGATAAGCATTTTATGAACTTGAAAATATTAGGTTGATTTTATTCTCGTTATGACAGACCCTGTTCAATTCAAGATACAGAGAGACACTCCTTTTTGCACTTATGGTGGATTTTTTTTGGGGAAATTGTGGTAATGATTACTTTTTTTGACATGGACTTTCTCAGATGCAATTAGTGTGATGTTTTGAAGATTTTTTGCCTATCTATATCAGGATTTTAATGTTTGGTTTTTTTAAAAAAACAGGTCTTTTAGAAAGTCATACATAACATACATACATACATATATGTTTGTGTATATGTGTGTGTGTGTGTGTGTGTGTGTGTGTGTGTGTGTGTGTGTGTGTGTGTATAAAAATTCACAGAACTTGTTACTGACAAAAAGATCCACCTTCCTTTCCTCTCTCCAGGAAGTGAAGGAGGAACTGTAATCTAGAAACATGGCATTCTATTCAAGGAAGCCACAGAAAACAGGAAGAGGAGACCCTCACAAACTTCTGAATGTTTGTGGATTTTATTGAGGGTTAGTGAGGTGACACTGTGGAAGTGATCCTGGATGCTAGCAAAGTGAGTTTGGGGAATTTACCTGTTGTATTCAGATCCTTTCTTTTCACTAGGACCAAGAATAGGGATTTAACTCCAATTTGGATAACAAGTCACCCCACATCCACTGAAATGAATTCAACTTGAATCTCCATGTGCTGTAGTAACAAGTTCTAAGTTAGCAATATGTTTTAGGTACATTAGAACAAACTTCAACAGCTATTGTCAAGTCTTTTGGAAAGACACAAGATAGCCTATTAATAGGGCCATTCTGCATTTCTTTCTGTAATGTGATAGATAGGGGTTTGGTTAAAATATTGAATTAATTCACAACTCAGTTTATGCTATACCTAATGTGGCTACTCTTATAGTTGCTTTTATTCAAATTCTATATGAATATTTCTAATCCATTGATAACTGTGAATTGATATTAGAATTCCTGTTTTCCAAATGAACCATAACCAGAAGATGCCTAGGGCGCACTAAGATGATTGGTGGACTCAAGCTGATGTAAGAATTCTAACCTCAAAGACCTCCTAAAGTAAGAAAAGGTTGTGGTGGCTTGAGAAGAGCAAGTCATAAGAGACTAACCTCATTTCCTCTTCTTACAATGTTACTAAGCTAATAAATGAGGAATGTTGTGGATGTAGTTTACTTAGAGTTTAGCATGAGTTTTCATGAAGACTTTAACACTCTTATTACTGAGAAGATGGAGAGATACAATTGGACCATTAGCCAATCAAGATTCATTTTTTATTTTATTTTCCAATCAAGATTTGTTAAGCCAGTCATCCACTGCCACTTTGGGACTTCTTTGCCATGCGCCAGGAAGCTTGTTATTGGGAAAACAGCATCTTGCAAGATTTTATCAATCTTGGAACTCCACCTTCACTACTCTCTCTAATTGGAGAGTGGAGCCATGCAAAATCTTCATTTTAAGCTCCAAGGAGTTTATTTCAGACTTGTAATTTGTGACTTCTCCACCATGCCTCTGCCCATTAGGTACCTCCCCCTACCTATTGTCTGCTGCACACCCCCTTCCCCTTTTTTCCCTTTGGCGTGTGTGTGTGTGTGTGTGTGTGTGTGTGTGTGTGTGTGTGTGTGTGTTAGACTGTAAGGGATTGTCTTTCTTCATATTTATATCCCTAGTGATTAGCACATCGTAAAGCACTATTAATAAATGTTTATTGACTATTGACTGAGCTCTGGTGATGTAAAAAGAAGCAAAAGACAGTCCCTGTCCTTAGGGAGCTTGCAATCGATTTTAAAATAATATAGAAAATAATAAAATCTGGTGGACACAGTAGTAAGAGAAGTCAATGAATAGTTAATGAGAGCAGCTAGGTGGCACAATGGATAGAGTGCCAAACCTGGAGTCAGGAAGACCTAACTTCCTGAGTTCAAATCTGACCTCCGACACTTACTAGCTGTGTGACCCTGGGCAAGTCACTTAACCCCATTTGCCTCAGTTTCCTCATATATAAAATGAGCTGGAGAAGGAAATGGTAGCGTACTCCAGTATCTTTGCCAAGAACCCCAAATGAGGTCATGAAAAGTCAGAACTGAAACAACTGAACAGCAAGTTTTTAATAGTTAAATGTTTGGGTGACTAGAAAGTCTCTATATAGTTAATTCCCTTACAAATCTCCCTTTCTCCCTTTGCTGTTTAACATTTTATCAATGACTTGGATAAATCATAAATGGCATACTCATCAAACATGCAGATTATGCAAAGCTGGGCCAACACTCTGGAAAATTTATAATCCAATAGGATCTTGACAGGTTATAAAAGGCATTGAGGCTAAATCTAGTAGGATGAAATTCATTAGGGATAAATGTAAAGTCTTTGACATGGGTGCAAAAAAATCAGCAGTACAAATATCATGCAGTGTGTAACCATGGATGGACAGCAATTGTTTTGAAGAAGATCTAGGTCTGTTTGTGCGGCTTCAGTTCAGTAGGAGGCAGTGTGAAGAGGCAGCCCAAAAAGCTAATAGGATCTTGGGGCTTCCTTAAGAGGTGCTGAGCTTCCAAGAATCAGGAAGGTGATAATCCCACTGAATTCGGCCCTGGCCAGTCTGCCTGTGAAGTGATGAGCACTAAGTTTAAGAAGCACACTATTGAACCTCAGTGTCCAGAGTTAGGCAGCCTGCATGGTGAAGGGCCTTGAGTCTGAGATCCAGAAGGATCACTTAAAAGAATGGAGCTTTTTTTGGCTTGGAAAAAAAAAGACTTAAGAGGAACTTGATAGCTTTATACGGGTGCTGTGGAGGACAGACACATTAAACTCATGCTCTTTGGCCCTTGAGGGCAGAAAGAACCTTGGGTGGGGAGCACAGAGGCTAAATTTAGGCTTCTCAGGAAGCACTAAAATTAGCGATGTACAAAAGTAGAATATGCTACCTCCAGGGTTAGTGGTGGGTTCCTCTTGCTTTTGAGGTCTTCAGGCAAGTGTGAATAATAACTCTCTAGTGTTTTCCCTCTGTTAGTTCCCTATTCATCGTGTATATAACTTGCTTTTATATATTTGTTTTAATGTTTTTCTCCACTGCCGTGTGGGCTGCTGCGCCCCGACCCCCCCCCCCATAAAATTGTAAGCCCCTCTTGGGAAGGGACAGTGGTCTGCCTCTTTATAATCTTTTCAAGTGGTTCGTGTTTAAATTTAGACATAAAGGGAATACTGTAAACAAAGTAGAAGAAAAGAAATAATTTACGTATTAGATCTACGGAGAAGGGAAGACTCTATGACATACACCAAAGAGCTGTGTGGAACAGCGACCCTAACTCAAATTAAACTCAGAGACTTATCAA